GGAAGACAGGAAGGAAATCAAAGGTGATGAGAGGGAACAATCTGAATCAGCACAAACACAAGCACAAGCCGAGAAGGGAAACTGCACAGACCACCCACATCCGCACCCAGCACAGTGTGGACGCAGCATCACCAACCTGCCAGTGCTGCAAGATCTGGGTAGGTGCGGGTTCATGGCAAGGAGAGCTGGGGATTACAAAGAAGCAGCTTTCCCAGAACAGAACAGTGCAGAACTAAGAGAAAAAGGATGCTTGCTGGATGCACACTTCAGGTGCAGTGGAGATGGCTATGGCTGTTCCAGATTTCACCTTACATTGGGCCCCATAGCAGCAGGGGAACCTTCAGATAGGGGCTCTGCCTATCTCCCAAGTAGTTAGTGGCCCAACCTTGCCATCCAGGAATCCAAGGGCCCAGGGTACACTCACTGTTATGTTTCTTCCTCACAAAGAAGCCTGCTGCCCTCTGAACAGTCACCCAAGCTGGACTTGACATTGCTCTCCTCTACCACAAAGTCTAAAGAGGCAGCATGTCCAGCACCCTAGGATGATCCACGATCCTCACTGGACAGTGTATTCCTTTTCATAATAAGGTCTATGAATGGCAAACTGTTCTCACTCTGTGCCCTCTGCTAATAAAACACTTTAGGGAAGTTCTGGTGCAAACCCTTATTGCCAGCACACTTAAGGAAGCTGGTCTTCTGAGAATCCAAAGCCATTCATGGCTACTCAGTATTTCCCATCTGCCATTTCCAAAATGATACTGTCTTCAGTTGTCTCTGCACATTCTAATCACATGGCCAATCCAGTCAAGGAAGTAGGTTGGCTACCCATAACAAATCCCTAATTTTTATGCCAATATCTGTAGCAAACTACCTTCTGTGGCCTTTTCTTCCTCTCTGACCCCTTCTGCAGTGGACCACACAGATATACCCCTTCAAACTTCTTTTGGCCCACTATTATCCCAGGCCCCACACAACCAGGTATTCCTACATCCTATTTTGACCAGTGAAGCTGATAGGCTACATGCAGATCTTCACGTTTGCCTTTATTCCTAAAAGTCCATCCCGATTCTCATCCCCAGCTCGGCAGCAGACTTGCTGCTGCTCCCTGTCCTCACTATCTGCAATTTCTGAGGAAATTAAGCAGATCCTAGTAGAAAACACACCCTGCTTTCCTCCCTCCTGTGGACTCCCTCAGCCATCCGCCTCTAGGACTTCTCTATTCATAAGTTTCAACTCTCAATACTTAGTGTAATGATAAAGAAGTAGAAAAGGATACCTTTGTCAGGCCTGACCAAGGTGAGACACTAGAGATCACACCACACAAGAGATTTAATACAAGAGGTTTACTGGGGGATGAGGGAAAGTGAAAATCCAGAGTGGGGACATGAAAGAGACAGACAGACAGTGGGACCAGCAGACAGAGAGAAGGAAGAAGACACAGAAACGATCTGTGGTGGTCAGGGATTTTAAGGCATGGGTCGCTACAAAACTGACAAGCAACTTGTAGCAACAGGACAGCAGAAATGTGCCACACCTGCTGCCACACTTAGAAACACTTTCTACCTGGAACCCACAGTGGCTACACTTAACAAGATCCCAAAGCCTGTTATACCAGGAAAAACATAAAAACCACTCTGTTAAGAACCAGAGAAGGTAAACACATGAACTATGAACCAATGGCTGAGGGGCCCCCAACTGGATCAGGCCCTCTGAATGGGTGAGACAGTTGATTGGCTTGATCTGTTTGTGAGGCATCCAGGCAGTGGGACCGGGTCCTGTGCTCATTGCATGAGTTGGCTGTTTGGAACCTGGGGCTTATGCAGGGACACTTGGCTCAGTCTGGGAGGAGGGGACTGGACCTGCCTGGACTGAGTCTACCAGGTTGATCTCAGTCCTCGGGGGAGGCTTTGCCCTGGAGGAGGTGGGAATGGGGAGGGGGCTTGGGGGGGAAGGGAAGGGGGTGGGAGGGGGGAGAACAAGGGAATCCGTGGTTGATATGTAGAACTGAATTGTATTGTAAAATAAAATTAAATTAAATTAAAAAAAAAAAAGAACCAGAGAAGGTAAGAGAAATCAAGGAACAACACACCCCCACAACAAATATAATACCAGATATCAACACCTAAATTACAATCTTCCCAAACCGTGATGCCTGGACTCCAATGTAAAAACACAACCAGTAACAGCCAGGACAGTGGGATATCCCCACTACAGCAGAGCCTGCCCCCCACAGCAGGCCCTGAGTCGGGCAACATAGCTGAAGCACAAGTAAAAACACTTAACATTCATAAAACATTCACAGTCCTGATGAACATGATAAAGGTCCCTAAAGGAGAAATGAACAAAGGCCTTAAAGAAATCTACAAAACCAAACAAACAGTGGAA